CGATCGCGCGCGCGTGATGGAGGAGGTGGCCCGACGGCGCGCCACGAGGGGGGCGCGTCCACCGTGTGGTGGCAACACGGCCGCGTGTCGGGCCCGTCCCCTTTCCGCGGCCTTCATGAAGACATTACCTCTCCGCACGTCGCGTACGCATACGTACATGTATGTGAAAAAATACCTTTACAGCGCAGTACCTCCTAATCATCGAAAAATCGTGACTCTGACCACGCGGGTACCGGTACACGCACACGTATGGACGAAAAGGATGGCGAGATGGGGAGAGGGGGATAAAGGGCGTACGCACTTACAGTACGTGTTGGTCGCGGCGATCGTGCGGTAAGGACGACGAGGACGGAGATAGAACACTCGCGCGACCTGAGAACCAGAGCGTGGTGTAATTGCACCGCGGTGATTGCGTCGAAAAGAAAATGTGGACTTACACGGTACCGCGTAAAAGGATACGGTATGCGTGCGCGTGTGTGAAATAATGTAGAGACGAACGAGCATCATCGCCGGCGGGGGAGGGGTAGGAGAGAAAAGGAATAACGATATCACGTAAAGCGGTCGTTTCGCCGCTGCCGATCCTGTTTTCGATTGGTTCGTCCGTGTTGATAATTTCATTTCCTGCGCTCGTACACGTACACATCTCGTATTATTATATTGTACGGCGCAGTATCCAATAAATACCATTCTAGTTTACGTATATATATATATGTGTGCGTGTGTGTTTGTAAACGCATAATGTCCGTACAACAAGTCTATACGAATTCAGTTAGTAAGGAAGAGTGAGAGAGAGAGAGAGAGAGAGAAAGAGATGTACAACGTGAGCTACCTTCGTGACGTCACTAATACGCGTCGTCCGTCTCACTCCGTTCGCGTCTTGGTCGTCGCCGTACACCTGGGTGGTCCGTCGTAGCCGCGGTAACCGCGCGCACCGGCTTCAGTCGACGGTTCGGTTTTGTGTCGGGATGTGCGCGTCGTACTCGTCGTTCTTCCCGTCCCGGTCGTCGCCGTCGCGTTCCCACCGCACGGTATTTCGGTATCGGATCACGTAGTTCTCTCGCGGTGCACGAAGACAGCTCGCCCCGGAACCGTGTCGAAGATTTGCTACCCCGAAGCACTGAGGAGTTCGTCGTCGGCCGCCGCTGCTGCCATGCGCCGTCGGAAGGTTCGTATACGCGCGACCCAAAGGATCACCAAAGGATCCGCGACAAGGCACCGCGCCGCCCCGGCCCGACGACGAGTTCGCCGACAAGCGATTTTTCGTGACCGGTACACGGCGCTATCCCCGTATTGTCCGCTCCGTTGTTCTCGCTCTGCCTTCCGACTTATTCTTATCTTTAAAATCCACGTTCAGCGCGCCCGACACCTGTTGCGTTACCGGAGACACACGTGTTTCCGTTGGCCGCAAGCGCTTGTCCGTCAGGCACGCGAAGCAGCATTCGCAACGTCCCGTCGTACGGATCGCTGTCCTGTTCCTGTGACCGTGCGAGCAAGCACACCGCCTAGAAGGCAACGGTGTTCTCTCGAAACTAACCCAGTTATTGTTTGCTTTTCGTATGATGATGAAATTCTCGTCTTCGTCGATCCGAAACAAAAACGGCACGATAATATTTCCGCGCGCGCTCCGTGATCACCCGAATAATAATAGGTCTGGACGGATTCCAGCAACAATGGCGTTACTCTGTCACGATAATTTGCGTCACAATTAGTGTTTTCGTTGATTTTTACGTCATCGGGAAAAATGACTATAACTATCTTTTTTCGTTTCTCGCACTTTATTGATATTTCCACGAAACTTGGCAGCTGCCAACAAGAAAGTCACGTTCGAAAAAATAAATAAATAAATAAACGAATAAACTATTAAAATAGTTGTCATAAAAAATAAGAATAATAAAAGCGTAAGTGACCAATCAACGATATCGAAGCCCTATTATATATACATGTATATGTGTCACATTCGGCGTAATATGTCTAAAGATATTGTGCGTGCGTGCGTGGATGTGTGTTTAAAGGAGGAACATTCATAACATAAAATATGTTGTTGTTGAATGGTACACCTGATTTTTTTTTTTTATTGTCGAGTTCACACGGGGTATACACATTTTTATAAAGACTCGGCAAAAGGGAGTTCAAAAATATGTGGACGTCGAGAGAAAAAGAATGAAAAACTAAGAGGCCGAAAGAGAGAACAAGTCTCAATACACCAGCAGGATAGAAGAGGGGAACAAAAAAAAAAAAAAAGGACAGCAAGAATTCAAAATTCAACGTCCTGCTGTTTGATTCTAAGAAATTCACGGTCAGTCGCATTCCATCACTGGCATTATAATCGAAATGTGTGTTTATCTGTGATCTAACAAATTGAATGCACGCCTAAACCGATCATGCGTCCATCGTCCAGTACTGTATACATATAAATATATTTATTTATATTATGAATATACTTTTATATTATAATAAATATGTACGCGCTTGACGAAGAAACCGTAAACGATTTTTATTTTTTTCCAGATTTTGTTTGCGTTCTTGGTATTCGAACGCCCAATTTTCTTTTTCCCCCGTTGCATCCATTGAATTATTCAATATTATTCAATTTAACGCTATACAATCATATTAATTAACTTGTCTACATTATACGCTCGTCGTGGACGCGGTCATAAACGATATTTTATTATTAAATTGTACGCAGTGCGGGTGTTGCTTTAGCAGCAAATCAGTACGCAACGACGGGTGAGAAGATAAAGATGGCTGTGCTGCGAAAGAATAATAGAAAAAAAAATATATATAACACCTAGGGCTTATTTAATAACAATAAACAACGATTATCATTTTTATTATTATTATACGTCGTGTCTTTGAATAATGCAGTGTCGAGTCTTAGGTCCGTTGACCGTGCGCGCGAACTGGTCACGAACTCGGATTCATAATTGAAAGATTAAACCGGCCGTCCAGGCTCTGCGTGAATTAAGCGATTATCATTTAAATTTAATTTTCGCAACGTAATAATATTATAATAACAACGGGTGGGAAAAAAATCGCTACACTAAAAAACTACCGATATCGAATTATATATTATTAAAACGCGCGGTGTCAGCGGATCTGATAAAATGACAAATTATCAAATTAACGCCATGCCACCATAAGACGGAAGCTACACTACGAAGTGTATGTCGTCCTTTATACTGTAATTAAAATGACAAAGTCGTCTCGAAGCTTAAGCGTGTGTAGTGCACACGAATACACACATACACACGCACTATATTATATTATTATAATTTATATATATATATATATATATATAAGTAGTTGGCAACGTGTTCAACTACTAGGAACAGGCGAGAAAATAAATAACATATTACGATGAAAAGGCTGTCCCGGAAATAGTTCACAGGATGCCAATTGTGTATATACGCTCGAGTTTGTGGGTACGTGTGCATGCATGTGTGCGTATTCTGGTATACTCTTCTATGGTACGCCGCCGACATCTGAAAATAGTGTCGTAAATCAACAGCTCACTGCCGTCGCGCACATGGCCAATCGTTAAAATAAGACTCTCTTTTCAAAAAGGACAACACTGTGACTTGTCCAGGAATTTTTACAGCGCCGCTAGTGCTTCTCTTCCCCCCAGGTTGTCAGCCGACATGATTCGTTTATCACCGAACACGTTTTTTGATATACAACAACTGTTGCTGCTGCCGCTGCTGCTCCGGTCTATCGGGCTTCTCGTTTTGATTTTTATTTATTTATTTATTTTTTTTTTTTTTGGCCAACTGCTCGAGTTATATGATCGCGTTACCCTCACAAGTTATCACCACAAGTGACATATTTACGAATTCTCATGCTCGTAAAAGCTTATTCTTTTTTTTTTTTTTTTGGATTAACAATGGGTACTGATGTAAAATTCGAAAAAATATCGTCAGAACGAATATTGAACCAACGAAGAAACGCGCAGACGTACCCGTACAGACGTAATACAACATCTCGACGGATAAAGTTGACGGTTGCCGTGGAGCGCAGTAATTGGTTATTATATTTTTAACGCGATATCAATCGACGAGCATACTTGCCGAAGCGTATCGATAAAACGGTCTCGGAACTACGGTATCGTGTACCCGCAGGAGGCAACTCTGAACAAATGTATTATTGCGAACGGAACGTTAATGTATGCGTACGGTTTGTGTGCACGCGGTAGGCACTTTACGCGTACGAGCATAACGCGTGATTTCGTTTGAAGACGCGCAAACGCGTTGCAGTAAAACCAATGCTTTCGTGTTGTTCAACGTTTATGGCATCGTTTGCATTAGTATCAGCGCTCTAAGGAACTCTTGTTGTTGTTTACCACCAGAAATTAATTACCGTTCCGTGTCTATAGCCGTAATCTCGACTTACGATCGTCCGGGCCTGGGATTCCTTATATTGTTCCGGAAACAATGCCGACAAACTTGCATCCTACAGCAGGCAGGCGCATGGTATACCCACGTTACGCGCACTCCGACCTTTTTGCCGTACTCGTCACGCACAACGTATGAACAAAATAAGTCGTTATCGAACACGACAAATAGCTGTGACAATTGGCGACGGTTAATTTTTTTTGGCACTCGTAACGACGACTCGGCTCTCGGTCCAATGCGCGAAAACTCGGTGGAAACGCGTGCGTTTCGGACAAATTGTGCATTGGCTCTTGGCTCCGGGATCGAAAATAATAACGTTTTTTAGTGTCTCCGCGCGGATCCTCCGAACACTCCTCGTCGACGCGCTATTTTAAATTTTTAAATAACCGCAGCCGTCGTGCTCCTCTTCCCGACGAACGCCCATGTAGCGTTAGGTATCATGTTTTATGGGGCCTGCGAGGTTTATGGCTTTATTTCGTGAGCTGTTTATTCTCAACGGAAGTCGGACGGCGTTCCGTAACCGGCCCCCGCGCCAATAGTTTTACAAATACGAGATTCTAACAATTATCCGTGTAATGTATTTATAGCCATATGTGTTTCGCTTGTTTACAGCTTGGTCGGCAGTTGCGGTGTCGGAGGATCAGGTGACTTGGTGTCGCGGAGGGGGGCGGGTGGCGTCCTGCCGCCGCACCATCCGCACCCCCATCCCGCCGATTTCCCTCACCCGCTTCGCTTCAACTGTATGGATATCTGTTCGTCGTTCACGACAGTCGGTTCCCTGAGTAAGTGTACACACGTGACGATAAACAATAACCATGCGTGCGTAACCACAGGTTTGTACGGTTAACCGTCGGACAGCCGTGTACAGTGCTGTACGACGACCGTCAGGCACGGCACTAGAATTTTTTTCCAGAGGGGGGGGGCACAGTGAGTAGAATATTTTTTTTACACGGGGTAAACGAATACTTAGGTTATTCAAATAAAATATGAATATTTTCGTATCGCGTATATCATAACTATTATTATTTTTGTAACGTACGAACAAATGGTAATAAATCGTAAGTTAATATATACAATTCGGAGTCTATCTGAAAACTTAAAACCCATATCTTCGAAAATACGAAAGTATTTACATAAATTATTACATATATTTTTTTGATGTAGCTCTTTTAAAAATAATATTTAATGACTTTACTAAAGCATACATATTTTTCAGTGAAGGGGGGCTGGAAAGGGAGCTAAATGGTTTTTGAGAGGATAGAGTCCCCCCTCCTTCTTGGCAACTGTGTGAAAAACGTACGTATTATTATGGTGTCCAGCGTCGTTTGTCGATCGGTTGATATTTACGAGCTGTCGTCATTTTTACGCCGTCCCAATGTTGAACTTGTTCACATTTAATATATTGTCCAATTCTCCTAAAAAATTGTACACATCGTTTCCATAAGTATTCAAACTAATTTAGGTTGTTTAATGAACAAATGTTCAAAGTTAACTTTTAAGGACCCTCTTGATATTTATACGTCACTGGAAATCGAACGCGAAACGATAACGTTATCAAATACCCAATAGTGATATGTCCTGCACTAGCAGGATACTGTTGCTCCGCGGGCGAACACCACCCGAGTCGCACGTCCATTGTTGGCCAATAACGCCACGTAGTCCGTACAAACCTGCGCGCACGAGAACTACTGCTGTCCCGCGCACTAATCGTCCAGGAAACTTTTAGGTTCGGGGCTATGTAGTCCGTTAGCGCAGAGCTTCTCGCGCCAAGGGAAGAAACGGGCACTGTCCGTGTCACCGTCCCCGGACCTGGAACTCCATGGCCGCATCCGGTCCTCACCGAGCGCCCTTTACTCGGCCGCCGCGGCGTACGGGGCTTCGTGTTCAAGGAGCTCCAGCACGTCCGGCTCGTACGGCCATCTGAACCCGTTGGCTTTCACCATGCAACACCACCCGTCCGTCATATCGCCGCAGGTCCAGCAGCTGCTGCGGTCCGCCAGCGGTCTGCACTTGCCCTGGCACAACGCCGCCTCGATGCCGTCCGCAGCCCATCATGCGTCGTACAACATGCACATGTTGCCCGTGCACCCGCAGGACACCTCGCAGGCAAGTCGCTTTTATCGCCTGCGCACCGCGAACCGAATATTAAATCCTTACCGCGCGTTTACGTTCACAGATGTTGGCTAACGATATGTGCAAACCAAAACACGAACGGTCCAAATCGAAGTCGGGATCGAGTTCTAAGAAGACGTCCCAGAAGCTGTGCGAGGACTCCAAACAGAACTCGCCCGAATCGATCAGCGATCTCAAGGGTGAACCGGATTTCATCGAGACCAACTGTCACTGGAAACACTGCACTTTAGAATTCCAGACCCAAGCTATGCTCGTACAAGTACGATATTTTCTGATCTAATTTTGACCTTACATACGTGAGCACGCGTTTGTAAACACACACACACATCGATTACATTTTTATTAATATATATATATATATACGCTCGAAGCGATTTAATTACCTGTGTCGTCATCATCAAAACACTAATACGCTTATATTATTCCCATTGTGATGACTATGAATTAAATTATTATACTCTTTTATTTCACAGCATATAGTTAATGATCACATTCAGGCGAATAAAAAGTCATTTGTATGCCAGTGGCAGGATTGTTCTAGAGACGAGAAGCCGTTCAAAGCTCAGTACATGCTTGTGGTTCACATGCGGAGACATACTGGGGAGAAACCTCACAAATGCACGGTAATTTATTTATTTTTTTGGCGTTGTGTCCCATGATCATATAGTTTGAACTTGTATGCGTTCGTGTTTTACCGAGTTAATTGCTCTGTTACCAAACTATTGATCTTACTGTTAAGGCTTTGTAATGTAAATATAAACAATAACTAAACGAAACTAATTTCGAGAAAATATTTTAATCACATAAAAAATGAATTAATAATTATTTGTACAACGTTATAGTTTGAAAATTGCACCAAAGCTTATTCAAGGCTGGAAAACCTAAAAACTCATCTCAGATCTCATACTGGCGAAAAGCCATACACATGTGAACATCCTGGTTGCAGTAAGGCCTTTAGCAATGCTTCGGATAGAGCAAAACATCAAAATCGTACTCATTCTAGTGAGGTAGTTATAACTTTAAATTATTTATTTTACGCGGAAATGTTTAATGCGCTCAAAAAACAATATGAATTACTTAAAATATCACCGCGTATTTTATTAATGAATTATAACTATTAAGTTTGCAAGGGATAATAAATAGTATTTTTCATAGCACATGCAAATAATATTTTACTTTTCATAATTAAATATATTAACAATAATATAATATGTATCTAATGTATCGCTTGATTTGTGTTTGCAATCAGTTGGGAAAAATTTAATAGGTGAGAAAAGGTTATGAGATATCGTTCACTAGAATATTATTAACATACATATTGTTATTATTTTGTTTATCAGAAACCGTATGTATGCAAAGCTCCGGGTTGTACGAAACGTTACACAGATCCCAGTTCCTTGCGTAAACACGTCAAGACAGTTCACGGAGCGGATTTTTACGCTCACAAACGACACAAAGGAAATGGCGATAACAGCCGCGGAGGAGGAAGTAGTGGCGGTGGCGGAGGAAGTGGTGGAGGTACAGGTGCCGATGATGCCTCGCCGTACAGAAGCGATGAAATGCCGATGAGTGCCAAAACCGTTAGTGTGTCTAGTCCGAGCATAAAATCCGAAGTACGTATTCCAAAAATAAATCGAATTTCATAGCGCTTATATTTGATTTATTTATAATCCATACTCGACTTCCGTAGGAAACTAATTCTCCGGGTCAGCAACCCAGTCCCATGAGCGTACCGTATACCAATAGGATGTTTCACGACGAGCCGATTAGTGACAGCAATCATAGTGCAGACGCTTTGGATGATAATTGGATGGAAGACGGACAAGAAGCCGATGTGAGTCTATTTCGCTGTGCCCATTCGACAATGGGCTTTGATTGTTTTTCATCAGCGCCGATATTAATCCAATGCGTTTTCACACAGTTGTTTGATCTCATCCCAATGCAGTCCGACGTCGGTAGTATGGTGACTTCGGCACCGATGGTTCGAAGAATGCGTCGATTCGTGCCTCATGCCGGATTGAAGCATGCAGCCAGTGAACTGTCGCCAATGCCAGACTTAAGTCCTGGCCACGGCGGTAGTTCTGGTATACAAGAATTGAACAAGCGACTGACCGACATGAAAATGGTGTCCAATCAAGAAACTATACGGAGAGAAAGTACCTTTAGTAATTACTGGAGCATGAAGTCTGACCACAGTCGCAGGAACAGCCAAGTAAGTTGGCCGGCTCTGATAAGGATTTGTCTGAACAGCAAATGCGTATAATGAAAAATTACTTTTCGCAGGTACCTTCCGAGCATCATAGACTAAGTAATGCCTCGTCCCTGTACGATCCAATATCCGTGGATTACTCACCTAGTCAAGCGAACACAGCTATGGGACCTGATATCGACGTAATTATATTCACATATTACACACTCGTATTGTTGAAAGTTGTCGAAATCGATCACACGTTTTAAACGAAATGTTTTATCGTTTCCCAGGCGTTTTCCGAGAGCGGAGAGTGCGGTAGACAGATGCCGGAAAGCGCTAAAATGTCTAGACCACAAGACCACCGAGCGGGAGGCGTGCACCATCCGAACTCGAATATCAACCTCGACGAGGTGGGCGAAGGCGAATCGTTGGAAAGCAAAATGGTGTTGCCGGACGATTTCGACGACGTCATCAAGGACATGGTAAGTTTGGAAATCTCTCGGCTCGTTGCTCGACGAGACCGTGCCGTTTCGCTAACGGTTTTGTCTTCCGGTCCGCAGATAAGCGAGAAGATCGACAGTTACGATCTGGGCGCGTTCGACGCGGAGAAAACCATCAACGAACTGACCGAGTCCGCCTTGGAGCACATTCCCACGTTGACGTCGCCGATCATGGCCGATCACGCGATCGCCGCCGGCCTGGCCAGTCCTCAGGTGCTGGTGACGCCTCCGCCCGCGGTCGCGGTGCCTCCACCGGCGCCGCCGCCCGGCGACGACAGGCCCAAGGCGGTGACCAACCACCGGAACATGCGCAGCAACAGTTTGCCGGTCAACTGGCAAGGGCACGAGCACCAGGCGCAGGACGTGCCGCGGTCCGCGTACCACGGTCAGTTCCAAAACCAAAGATCGTACCAGGCGAACGCGGCCGCGATGCAACAACTCGTCAACAACAACAACAACAACAGCAACAGCAACAACTTGAACTGCACGGCCGCCGTGCAGCAGAGGCACAACGGCGGACGGTACTCGTACTCGTCGCACCAAGATTTCGTCAACTACAACAACTACGCGAACTTCCGACCGAACGACTACCAGACGAAGAACAGTGGCCAACAGCAGTACGTCGCGGCCAACGGCAATCAGTTCCACGGCAGCGGTTACTACGGCAACCACGATCACCAAACGTACCAGAGGTGCCAGAGGACCGGCAACAACAACAACAACAACAACAACAACAATAACAACAACAACAACAACAACAATGAAGACGGTGGCGGGCAGACGGCGGCTGCGGCGGTGGTGGCGGCGCACGGCATGGCGTACAACAATTACTACGGGTGCAGCAACCAGCAGTGCGGCCAGCACCAGCAGCAGCAGCAGCAACAGCAACAGCAGCAGCACGGCTACTACAACGGCTATCAGGGCAGCAGCAACAAGTTCGGTGGGTACACGAGGCCGTCCAACGCACCGATGCACCACCACCACCACCACCATCACCACCAGCAGGACCACCACCAGCAACAGTACTATGTGGACCTGGACAGGAAACAGGAGGGCGAAGCGGCGGTGGCGACGGGTCCAATGGAGGACAATTCGTTCCGGTCTCCCCAAGGGCCGCACGCGTTTGACGGCAGCAACAACATGGTGCTTAAAGACATGTCCACCTCGTTGAGTTCGTTGTACGACGAGAACACGTTTTTCCAAATGTCCACCACTGTGTTCTCCGAATCGTAGCGCTACTGTCCGTCACTTTAGGATAAAAGCGAAAAAAAAAAATTTAAAAAAAAATACAAACTATAGTTACCACTCGGTTTCAGTGCGTTGAACAAGTGCCCTCCACCGACCCCTCACGTTGACGCGTCGATCATATTGTAATTTTGTATTTGTATTTATATTTGTAATTTTTTTTCTTTTGTTTTTTTTTTTTTTTACTGGTCATTAATAATAAATCATCATTGAACTGGATTTTATAAGAGTATATTTTTCCACGAGAAATACAATTATTTTTTATTGTTTTGAATACTATTTCTATGTAAAAATAAAATAATCAATGTAAATCCGTAGGATTCAATTTATGTATATTAAAAACGTGTTAAAATTCATAATTTTATTTATTCACATATAAGTCTGTATTTAACTTAATATTTTTGTTATAAATGTGATCTTCATTTTAAGACTTATTTATTTATTTATTTTTTTTTTTTTTTTTGTTAAAATGAAATCATAACTTTCTGTATGCTTGATTAAGATAGTGTAATTTTTTTAATTAAAAAATGTTATATTTAATACTATGTTAAGTGTTATAACTGAATCTCAGAGACTCGATAGATACAAAAAATTGTTAGTATTTCTATACACATACTAGATAATATTAGTACATCATGCCATATATTATAATACAAAAAATATTCTACAATATCTATTTGAAATAATTTTAATTGTGTTTTATATTTAAAGATAAAATAATTCTGACACATGAAATCCGTGGTACGTGGACTAATAGTCGTTTCTCTAAATATTTAATAACTGATAAGTTAACGTTCCGAATGAAGATAGAATTCAATTTCGCTTGGTTAAATAAACATTTTCAAATATTGTAGGCCAAGAAATATAACACGAACATTTGTTAATAAATAAATTACCATGTTTTACTTTTCTTGTAACGATTTGCAAGGGTCGACTACCTTCCGTTTTTTTCGTCTCCAAAAATTAATACAAATAATGGCAATGAATTGATAAAAAATATATATATATCATAACTAAAAAGGAAGAACATTGAATATTATACAAGTTAATTGAGAAAACTAAATGTTTTTATTTGTTGTATACAAATGTGTTACTCAAATATAATTAGAAAAAGATAAATCGTAACTTTTCATCCCACCGTAATACCTGGACATCCAACTCCTGAAAACATCCAACGCTTAGACTGATTATGATTTATGTTTAGCATCTATAATAATTATATAATATATAATATTATAATTATTATATTAAATTATTTAATAAAGAATTAGGTAACCGTATCACACTATATCATATCAGATTACTCTATAGGTTCTATAAGTATATCATTTAGTTTCGAACCAATTGATCCTCTGTTAGAGTGTAACCATGATAATTAAATGTTCTTTAATGCAACTAATGTTGCGGGTACTTTGAAACGTAGGCGAATTGAAATTATTAATAAAATCGTTAAAATAGAAGAATCAAATATTGTTTTAATCAAGTACCTATAGAAGATAGTAATGGCTATATTTTATTCGTAAAATATTTTTTTTCAAGAATACGTTCAGGGGCCATTTAATTAAGATTAGCACTTGAAATTAAACGGTCAATAGAAGGTGGGAATAATATAAGAAAGTTACTTACGATTGTTTTATATTTGAATATACACCGGCAAGATAAAGAAAAACATAAAACATCAAAGATTTTTCAGCCTATTGAGAGTCGTTTATGAATTCACTGCTTGAAAAATACGTGGTGGGCTGTGATTGAATAAATATCATTTGCGAGCACTATTAAAGAGAGAAACGCTTGTCAGTAATATTGCATTGTTTTTTTTTTTTTATATTTGTACATATGCGAAGTAGAAAATGAAAATAACGAATCGGCAGAAATGCCTCAGACGATGAAACATCAAACAAAATTTGGGCTATTTGAGACAACTCAAAATGTTTTTGTGGACGAATTTGGATGATGTCCATATTCTAATATGTTTTGGTCACCGCGTTAGAAAAAATTAATCGGGAGGATCATGACCAGGTAAAGAAGAATTATAAAGAATTTTTGGTAACACTCATTTATTATTACAGTAATCCCTCGTTATCCGCGGTTGGGTCCACGATAACATATTATTAATGCGATTGCGATTACGTTTTACCGATATTACACGAACACTGTAGAAATTTATTTTTGACAATAATTGTAGATAATTGTTGTTATATCGCTATAGGTATAACACATATACATTATACATACTTATACTTATTGCTAATAAACCACAAAAGGTTACCTGCACATGCATGATTAATCAATTGCTCAGTTATTAATTGATTAATAATTGATTTTTAAAATTGAAAAAAATTAAACCTAACCTCCCTTTTTACATTGATTTATGGTCTCGTTATCCTCAGGTTATCCTCGTGCAGGTTTGCTCATAGGCGGACATTTGGTTGAATTTTATTTTGGGGGGGGGGACTATAATAATTCAATGTAATACAACCCACAAGGGCTTCACCCCCACACCCCCTTCCCATACACAAGTAAAACTTATTACCATTAAAAATATAGATATGTTTAAATTGTATTAAAAAAACACTAAATAAAGTATATTCAAAAATAATTAATATTTTATTTTAAAAACAAATAACTATTTGTGTTAGCAACGATACTCAAAATATCATCGCTTTTTATATTTTTCGATATATAGTATTGACAGATTGCTGAACCTATCTTGAACCAACAATGTCCTTAACCAAGTTTTTATTTTTTTCATTGCACTGAAAATTCTTTCTCAAGTAGCCAAACTATGTAATTGGTATTTGATATTGTTAATGGTTAATAGTTTTTATTATTTCTTATTTTACGATTTTCAAAAAAAAAAAAAAAATGAACAAATAATTATAAATAAATTATAAAAACAACGAATAAAATTTCTAACAAAGTTTCGATTTTTTGAGGGAGGGGCTATTAAAATAATTGGGGGGTCTAAATTTGTGGATAATTTGACACTTTTAAATTATTATATATTTGAATTATAAATTGTTTGTAATAATATTAATATTTATTTACAATTAAATGTTCCAGTAATACTAAGTAATACAAAGTTTATAAACGGCGTTTTAAATAGGCAATTGTGATACATGTATGTTCGCCAACATTTCTATGTCGCATTGTTACAAAATTATTTATTCTTCTTCTTCTTTTTCTTGTTTTGGGTTAAACGGTCACTAGGACCATCCCGTCTCACAATCAATTCTCCAGTCGTCTCTATTCATCGCTAAATTCTTCCAGCTTAATCCTCAGGGTAATTTGGTCCTCCAGGTTGGAAGTTTAGCGCAGAGTTAGTCAATATCCTGCCTAGTAAAACAACCTTTGTTCAGGACTCAAACACAAAGTCTCGGGATAGATTATTTGGTAAAAATACTAGAAATAAATAAATAAATAATTTATTATAATTAAAAAATATCTTCTATTCTTTGTTTTCAGTCGTATAAATGTAATATTGACCAATACATTTTTCGTCCACCAAAGAGCTAGATTTCGAGGAGGAATATTATGTATTTGAATGTCGTTTAATATAAAGAAATAGGACAGAGGCGGTCAGACTTTTTCCGGCCACGATCTACTAAAAATATACTTCACCTTAGAAGATCGACTTTTTTGGAAAATTATTTTTATTATTAAATAATTATAATTATTAAGAAACATACTTGCTTAACATGTATATAAACATACATAAAGTATTATAAACTAATTACTATAAGTAATATAAAATACAGATAAAACTTATCGACAATTTGTTCATAACCACCACGATTAATTGTCGTGCTCGTGGCCTAAAAATAAATTCTAACATGATCGACTTTGAAATTGTCCACAATCGACCATTTGGCCGTTCCTGAAATAGGGCATGATCATGAAATAATAATTAAAACTAAATTGGTGAACCCAAGTGCACCGTAATATGAATTATCGATTCCAATAAATAAATAAAAATGAATTATTATAAATATGACAATGGACAATGAACTAATAGAGGTTTCAAAGTTGGCTTGAATTATAAATTCTTATACGTAACTTTCTATTGACAATGCAGCAGATTAAAATAATACAAACACAGGGTTTGTCTCGGAGTAACGGTGATACATAATAGATACATTGTTTGTTTTATGCATTCGACGTTAATGGTCTAATTGTTGAAAATAAGATTGAATCACATGTACTAAACAATTGGCAGTGATAGAAAATGGAGAAAATGGAAGAAATTTCGAAGAATTAAAACAAATCTAGAAAAATTCAAGTATGTGCTCTTTACTCACTCTTATTGAAAATTGGAATAATTGTTTGAATCGCCATTTTTGTAAGATTTACTTATTGATGACATCAAAATTAAAAATAATAAAATGCTGTCTTAACATTTTCTTTTCTCGTAAACTATCGGTATAATTGTAATTAAAATTAAATCTATTGAGCTTTTAGTAAAGATATGAAAAATAAATAATTTTCAATTGAGTATATATATGAGTTAATTACAAAATTAATACTATACGTATATGCTGCACAACCGTCATAAAATGTCAACTTGCAAATATATAGCACAAAACATCGAATCATAAATTGGTTAACTTTTTCGTTAGTATGGTATTCAATAAATAATCAATTAAATCGTTTACATTTAAAATTAGAGAATATATTTGTTTTCAGTCATTGAATTACGTATATAAACACGGATTTGCACCCGAACGTAACCCGAAATTCGAATCAACCCAAATAAATGGTTTAACCTAAAACCCGTATATTTATAACTGATTGAATGAATATGAAACCCGAATTATCGGAAACTTGTATGAAATATTCGGGTTAATCCAAAACCCGAATTATTAAATCGTTGTATTAACTATATAGTAGTAAGTAATAAACGAGAATTTTTTCCAGTAAAAAAATTACAGATTAATGGTAAGTACTAATTTAATATAATTTCTTTTTCATTTTATTTACTTAAAAATTAAAATTAGGTTACTACATCAAATTGGCATAGAAAATCTCAGTAAATTAATATGTTA